TCATTAGAGGTCACTAAAAGGTACTGAATATGGTTCTCTGTGCTTTACAGTAAAAACTTGTTGTTTATCTATTTTATATATAATAGTACCTGCAAATCTCGAACTCCCAATTTATCCCTTCCCACCTCCTTTAGAGCCCCTCCCCACCCGCCCTGGAACCTTAAGTTTGTTTTCTATGTCTGGGGGTCTGTTTCTGCTTTGTAAATAAGGTCATTTGTGTCTTTTTCATTTTAGGTTCCACATATAAGTGATATCACATGGTATTTTTCTTTCTCTTTCTGGCCTACTTCACTTAGAATGACAATCTCCAGGTCCGTCCAAGTTGCTGCAAATGGCATTCTTTTATCCTTTTTTATAGCCGAGTAATATTCCATTGTATAAATATACCACAGCTTCTTTATGTAGTCATCTATTGATGGGCATTTAGGTTGCTTCTATGTCTTGGCTATTGTATATGGTGCTGCTGTGAACATTGGGGTGCATGTGTCTTTTTAAATTAGAGTTCCCTCTGGATATATGCCAGGTATGGGAATGCTGGATCCCATGGTAACTCTATTTTTAGTTTTTTAAGGAATCTCCCTACTGTTTCCCATAATGGCTACACCAGTTTATTTCTGGAGTATTTTAAAGCAAATCTCAGACATCATATTTCTCCACTCACAAATGCTTCAGTAGGTATCTCTACTATGGAAGGACTTGTCAGTTTTCCAGGGCTGCCATAACAAAATGCCATAAACTCAGTGGCTTGCAGAACATTCATTTTCTCACAGTTCTGGAGGCTGAAGTCCAAGATCAAGGTGTCAGCAGGTCTGGTTTTTCCCGAGGCCTTGCCCCCTGGCCAGTAGAAGGCTGCCTTCTCGCTGTGTCCTCACACGCCTTCTCCCTTCAAACACATCTCGTGTCTCTTCCTTTTCTTACAAGGACACCAGTCCTATCGGATCAGGCCCCGGATTCATGACCTCACTTAACCTTAGTTCACACTGTAAAGGCCACGTCTCCATATACAGTCGCAAGAGGGGTTAGGGCTTCAACATACGAATTTTGGGGAAAGACAAGTCGGTCCACAACAGGACTTTTAAAAAACATGATCATAACATCATTGTGCCTAAAAATAATAGTAACAGTTGCTTAATACTGTGTAACATCCTGTCCACATTCAAATTTCCCTAGTTGTCCCCAATACTTTTTTTTTAACAGTTTTGTTTAAATTAAGGTCCAAAGGTTGGAGCATTGTTTTCAAAATACAGATTCCTAGGCCCTGCCCTGGCGTGGTGATTTAGCTCCCCCACATGCTGCCTCTGGGGGGTCCTGATAGTTTCTGATTGCTATTTTACCCCCCAGTGGAACTTTGGCCATTAACATTTTAAGCAGAATTATGCCAACACTGATAGGTTTCCATCAAGGAAGTCATTTCTAGAACAAGTGTCATTAAGTCATGAAATTCATTGATCAGTTTTCCCTGCAGCACTGGAGTGAATTTCCAGTCTTTACCATTTTTATTCTAGTTTATTGGAATTCTCTTCATTGGCATCCGTTCTTCTTCTGTTCACATTTCACCATGAAATTTGATTCACTCTCAGGTTTTTGTCCTTGCCAAATATTACCAGTTACAACATCTGCCTTTGTGAGTTTCATTTTGTGGCCATTATTTCTACCAAATCCAACTCTTCCCAATCAGATGTAGACGGTACATTGTATCAAGATTTGATTCTTCAGGTGATGTTCAGCCTATAGCATTTTTCCCCCAGAGGTAGTGTCAGCTGTTGTTAAGCTCGCTTTGTGTTGATCATTTCTATCGGTACTATTCATACTTGCATGAATTCAGCAGTAATATATGTACTTTGATAAAAGGCTGAGAGCTTGGATTTCTTTCTTTACTTATCCATGAAAAAAATGTTCTGTATCTAAGAGATCGCGAGGGAGATGGAGTGTGGGAGTCAGCGAACCAGGAAAAGACACACAGGCAGAGGGAGAGAGAGACAGCTTGGGAACGAAGCTGCAGCCGTCTTGGGCTAGTGTTTGCTAAGCCTTCCGCGGGGTCCGGCCGCTGTGGAGGTCAGAATGGCGAGCTGCATGGAGGCTGAACTATGGTTGGTGAACATAGGTCAGGCAAGAAGTCGCAGGACTTTAAATCCAAAGAAGTGAAACCCACACTGTCATTGTGCCACTCTCGGCCCCTCCTCCCTTTTATGGCTTTTTTTCTTTTTTTTACTCTCTTCCTATCCCTGCCCCATCAGAGACTGAATTTCAGCCCTCCGCTCTTGGTGAACTTCAGACCGACTACTGCCTCTCCCAAACTTCAATTCCTCTGGTCCACAGCCAAGGTGACCCCACCACGTGGTTTTACCCGTGCCTAGCACAGTGCCCTGTGTGCCCTGAGTGCTCAGAAATCACCTGGTTTATCATGAAGCATCACCCTGGGGGGAGGGGGTAGAGCACGTGCTTAGCATGCACCAGGTCCTGAGTTCAATCCCCAGTACCTCCATTAAAAAAAAAATTGCTCAGTTTTAAGTGGGGAGGGTATAGCTCTGTGGTAGAGCACATGCTTAGCATGCATGAGGTCCTGGATTCAATCCCCAGTGCCTCCACTAAATAAATAAATAAATAAACCTAAACACCCCCCCACACCACCACCACCACAAGAAAAGCATCACCCTGACAATTTAACCCCCTCATAAGCTAGGCCACTGTTAACAAATCAAAACACACCTACCACTTCCTGGGGGGTACGTAGGTGGATGGATCCAGATTCGGCAATTCTGAACTGTGGGGAGGCCTCTCAATCTGTCTACAGAATTGAAGCTTGAAAAGTTTTCTTTTTCTTGCTGACGTTCCCCAGCAGATGCCTGCTGTACACCCACACACTTAGCCAGCAAGCTGAGAAGAGCTGCGGCAAGAAGTATTCCCTCTGGGACCAGTAGTCGCAGGAGCATCCTCCCGGAAGTGAAGCGCTGGTCCAGCCCAGTTCCCCGCTCCTCTGGTCCAGCCTCACAGCTGCCTCAGGCTGAAGTCCAAGAGGAGGGGGGCTTCGAGAGATGGTGCAGGGAAGGGCCAGGAAGAGCTGCCCCCTGGGAGAGCGAGGCCCTGTGGGGGACTTCCTGGAGGCCTGGAGGGGGCCACCAGACACAGCCAGCTGAGAGACAAGAAGATGGGAGGGGACTCAGGGCTCACTTTTTGCTCCTGTCTTAAAGGGCTTGGACCAGCAGCTCCTGTGATGTAAACTGTGTGACTGAGGTGTTAAAACTCAAGGATTAGCCCAAGAAAACTGAAGGAACAAGGGAAGGGTTCTGGCCTTGAAGAAAACGTGAGGCAATGACTGAAATGTTATGGTGTACCCCAGAAATTGACACGACATTGTAAACTGACTCTACTTCAATTTTTTGAAAATGGAAAAAGTAAAAATAGAATTAGAACGAAAGAGAACATGAGATGAGAGAGAAAGGCTAGACTTGAGGTTTCTCAAACTTGGCTTCAGGTTGGAATCACTGGTGGGGGCTTTAAAAAGACTGATGTCCCAGCCCCACCCCGAGGGACCGATTTAATTGGCCTGGGGTAGGTTCAGGGCATCCAATTTTTAAAAGCTCCCCAGTGGGGTTCTAATATGCAGCCAGTTGAGACCAACTGGGCTAGACCGAGGACAGAAAAGGAAATCTGACCTCCCTGGGTCTCCCATGGCTCAGCCACGGGAGGGGCAAGGCCCTTGGGCCTGACCTCCCCTGGGGTCATGTGGGAGCCTGCGGTTGTACATCTGGCGGCTGAGTGGTGCTTTGGGACCGAACACCAGCCCTAGTTAGACAGTGGACAGTGGGGTGCTGCCGGGGAAGACTCGGGTTCACTAGTCCACTGTGTGCCAGGCCAGCTACTTCCTTGCCTTCCCTTTCCTCATAGAACCTCCAGCTCGAAAACATTCCCTGAATCTCAACTTTCATTAAAATAGCCCAGTCACTTCTAGTCGACAGACTTTCCCCCCATGAATTATTCAAACTGGGGGGTTGAATGTTGAAAATGACATGTTCGAGTTGTCCTCATTAAGAAGCTTTTAGCTGTGAGTCTCCTGCCTCCACTGTGTTTACAGAGCCTGATCCCTGCAGGGCTGGTGGGGACGGACGCAGTCAATCATTGACAAAGTCACTAAGGAATGCCACGTGGAAGTAAAGTCAGTGATAAACACGCACAGAATAAACAGAGGTGGTGTAACAGAGGGAGCCCTCAGGGACAGCCCTGGGCACTCAGAAGCGTCCCCAGCCTTCAGCAAGCCCCCCAGCCCCCTGGGCCCCGTTTCCATCACGCTCACGATCACCTATTTCACTCCAGCACCGGAGAAGGGGGATTAAACAGATGATCTCTCACCCCTGAGGAACCCCACTCTAGGGGATTGAGGCAGACACAGAAACAGCCCACGATGAGACCATCTGAATAAGAGGCAGAATGTGCCACAGATGTTGACTTCTGGCCTTCTCCTTGACTCTTAACCACAAAACAGAAGATTCAGAACAAGCAGAAGGTAGGACTGAGTGACGGTGCCCTTCGGAGGGGCCTCGAGTGTCTGCCAGGCCACCACAACATCATCACCGACGTCGCCAGTTATGTTCAGACAGCACAGGGCTTCATCATGACCGCATCTAGAGATGGGATTGGTAAGGTGTACCAGGGAAAACTGGGTGACTTGTATAATCTGTTATAAAGTAATAAATATATCTTAATGCCAGGGGAAAGATATTTCTAGAGAACAGAAGTGAGATCAGATTCATTTGCTTAATTTGCAAAAATAATTCTTTTTTTTTTTTTTAATGGAGGGTCTGGGGATTGAACCCAGGACCTGGTGCATGTTAAGCATGCGCTCCACCACTGAGCCCTACCACCAACAAAATCATTCTCTTTTTTACTGCTTCCTGATTATACAACTCCCACCCAACACAGTGGAGGACGTTGTGTCTGGTGACCATGCTTGTGGGGAGCTCTGCCCGAGTCAGCAGACAACAATGTCCAGGAATTTTCACAGCCTACATCAAGGAGGTGAGGAGTTTCCAACGGTAAGACACTTGTGGTGTCGTTTTACTTTGCTTTAGAAAAGATGGTTAAGTGGTTACCATGTAAACCGGTCATTCCAACCTTTAGCGTACATCTGATTCACATGTTGGGTTTGCTACAACACCAACTGCTGGTCCCACTGCCAGGGTTTCTGATTCAGCAGGTCTGGGCTGGGGCCAGAGAACTTGCATTTCTAACAAGGTCTAGGTGATGATGCCGTAGCTGATGAGGGACTGCACTTTGAGAACCACTGATATTAACACCCACCGTCACTGTTCAAAAATGCTGTTCGCAGGACCTCGTCATGCAACGGTAGCGTGTCTGACTCCAAAATGCTGTTTGCAGCTGCAAATGTGGTGCATCGGGGGACTCTCAGGGCTGAGCGCCTGCTCTCCTGTCTTCTCTGTCTTGTTGTTTATTCATGTTCTGACTTAGTTCTAATCTGTAGCACTGATCTGCGCCCACGAGCCATGGAGAAACATGTTTGTTCTCGGCCACCAACATCTTAAATCATCATAAGCCCAATTAGGCGTTCTTGTGAAATGTGAATCTCAGCTCATCCATGCAGATCATTTTCCCTCCAGTTACTTCAAGAGCAAATAAGATAATTTTAAGCCCTTGCCCCAGCCTAAGATCCCAGGATTTTATGATACAATGATTTTAATAAGCACCCCCCTTTGTCTTGGAAGGAGGAAAGTCACTTTACCAGAGCATCCGCTTACCTACTTGTGCACTAAGTCTCATTTAATTTCCCTGTGACCATTTGAGTTGATGCCATTTTCAAGATAAAGACTGAGAAGTTCAAAGAGTTTAGGTCATTTGCCCACATGGCCCAGCCAGTGAGTCATGGAGCCACGTTGGAACCCTGAGCCATCCTTGCTCCGTCCAGCATAGCGCGTGCTTTCCCGCTGCGGGGGCAAAGTGAGAACAATGCCCGGGAAATGCTTTCTCCCACAGACTGCTCTTCTGCTTCCAAACGCCACTGACGCTTGGGTGTTTGCACCCAAGACGAAGGCCTTGGCACCAGGCCCCCTTGTTTACAGATCTGGAATCCCATGCACGTGAAAAGTGAGCACAGGGCCAAGGGTGGGGCGGGGGTTGGAGGGCCGGGCCCAGCTTGGATGGCACAACTGTCAACACAGCAAAAATACTACAAGGAAAGGCAAAAACATTTCAAAGACGCCATCACAGCCATTTTCTTCTTGCTGGAGCCAGTAGCTTTTGACCCTCAGTTTGAATAGGCTTTTATTTTCCTTTAAAAAAAAAAAGAAACTGTTCTGTCTGTAACTGTACTAGTGACAAGGTCACAGTGTTCACAAGGATGACAGGAGGAAACCTTTCTGGGTCACAGGCCAGTCTTGCCAATCTTAACATCCAGTAATTCAAAGTCACAGGCCTGACTGACACTCTGGGAGGAAAACGGTTATCTTCCCCCAATCTGATCATTAGTGGGAAGGAAGTGAGAGCTGTCAGCTACCACTTATTACCAGGGGTCCCGTAGGACCATCTGGTTTTTCATTAGCTGTCTTTAAATTATATGCAGTCAGGAAGCTTAGCTCAGTCAGTATCAGAGGCTGCTGGAACTGAACCCGGTGCCTTCTTGGAGAACGGAAGTCAGAGTCAGGAGCAGCAGATTCTGAAGAGGGATTTAAATGATCGTCTGCACTTTGAAGGAACCCACACGAGAGCCAGGGCACAAACTATAAGGTTTGGGGCAGAGGGGTGGGGCTGTGGTCTTAACCAGTGCTTCTCAAGTTTTGATGTGCTAATGAAACACCCTGAGAGAGCTGGTAAGTACAGACTCTGTTTCTTTAGGCCTGTAGTGGGGCTGAGATTCTGCGTTTATAACAAGCTCCCTGGTGATGCCAATGTTGCCTGTCCACAGGCTACTTCAAAAGGAAGACCACGTCAACAAAAGTTTGAGATTTGCAAAGGTTAATCGCTATATATAAAAATAGATGAAAACCAAACTTTTCTGTATAGCACAGGGAACCATATTAAATAACTTGTAATAACCTTTAATGAAAAAGAATATGAAAATGAATATATACATGCATGACTGGGACATTGTGCTGTATACCAGAAATTGACACATTGTAACTGACTATACTTCAATTTAAAAAAAGCTTTCTAGTAGAGCATTTTATGAATGCAAAGTCTTTTAAGAAATATGTAATAACAATTTAAAAACTAGCGGGGACCTGAAGAAATATTTCAATACGCTTTCGTACCAATATTCATAATGAGATAGAGGAGGAAATTGAATATTAAGGCATATGAGAAGGCCTTAGGTAAAGAACAACCCTTTTTTTTAGAAAGAGAGCAAGAGTACTTCTGAGAAGTGGATTGTTTCATTCTGAAGCTAACAACATGAAAGTAGGTGCTGAAAAGTAATGGCTACCATAATATCTTATCCAAATTACCTGGTCATTAAACCAAGTGTGAGCAGTGACTGAAATACACTGAGAAAACAGTATGGAGAGTCCTTTAAAAACTGAAAGTAGACTTACCATATGATCCAGCAATTCTACTCCTGGACATATATCCAGGAAAGATGAAAAGTCTAAGACACATGCACCCCAATGTTCACAGCAGCACCACATACAACAGCCAAGACATGGAAGCAACCTAAATGCCCATCGACAGATGACTGGATAAAGAAGATGTGGTCTATTTATACAATGGAATACTACTCAGCCATAAAAAAGAATAAAATCATGCCATTTGCAGTAACATGGATGGACCTGAGATCATCATACTAAGTGAAGTAAGCCAGAAAGAGAAAGAAAAAGACCATAAGCTATCACTTATATGTGGAATCTAAAAAAGAAGACACAAATGAACATGTTTACAAAACAGAAACAAACTCACATAGAAAACAAATTTATGGTTACCAGGGCGGGAAGAGATGAGGGCGATGGATAAACTGGGAGTTTGGGAGTTACAGATACTATTATGTATAAAGTAGATAAATGACAAGGTCCTACTGTACAGCACAGGAAACTATATTCAATACCTTGTAATAGCCTATAATGAAAAAGAATATAAAAGGAACGTGTGTGTGTGTGTGTGTGTGTGTGTATCTGAATCTCTATGCTGCACACCAGAAACTAACACAACATTGTAAATCAATTTAAAGGAATACACTGTGTCAGGTGCATTGAAGTGAATCAGTCACCCCAGAGAACTGTCAGAGGCCCCCCACCTCCCAGGCATCCAGAGTGGGCCCAGCCCACCTCCCTGCTCACACCTGCCCACACCCAGGAGGGCAGATGGCCACGTTCCGGAGTCCATGGCCCTGCTTCAGTTTGGGAGCCTAGACTCTCCAACTAGACTATTTTTGTTTTCCTGACATTCATTCCCTACCTTTTCCTTCACGGTAACAAAAGCACTGACTTTGCGGTGAGAGTTTTAACCTCTTGAAACTCAGAGGAGGGTCTCTGGACCAGAAGTCCCAGCATCAGTGGAGCTTGTCAGAAATGTATGGTCTTGGGTCCCCTCCCCTCAGAACTGCTGCATCACAATCTGCAGTTGAGCCCAATCCCCAGGTGATTTGTATGCTCATTAAAGTTTGGGGAGCACTGTTTCCATCTTTCTGAACTTCGATCTTACCTTGCAGGGTCGTTGTGAGGATTAAATGCATCCAAAGGGCCTGGCAAGTCACAGGTGCTAGCTATGTTATCGTCGCCTTCCTTCGCTGCCAGACCTCTGTGCCCAGGCTCCATCTGCCTGAGCCCTTCTCTCTGGAACTCTGACCTTATCTTGCCTCCCCAGACACAGCCACTTGGCAGGTGCCCCAAACTGACCTCAGCTCTTTCCTCGGAGCCCCTGGCCAACTTGCTAGGGGCTGTTGCTATAGTTCTCAGCACTCCCCGCTGACCTAGACTCTCCCCAAGTCCCACCTCCCCTGGCCTGACACTTCTCGTGGGCACCAGAAACCCTACCGCACCACCTCGTTTAGTCCTGTTGCCACTGCTCAAAACGGCCTTAGAACTGCTCCTTGGAAGCTTGGAATCTGGGCCCAGTGTAAGGACTCAACTGACTCTTCCTCAGGTGAATGAATGAATGAAGAACAAGGGGTCGCTTTATCCTAAGCCATGCAATTAGGGTTTCCACCTCCCCTGAGGGACTTGGCCTCTTTGCTTTTCCTTCTCACTCTTCCTTGCCATCCAAGTGTGATGCAGAAGGCTGAGCTCTGATGTCCACCCAGGAAGGAAGGGCCCGTGAGAGTGCTGACCTATGAGGATTCCAGAGCCCGGGTCTCTGCACGGGAGCCCTGGTGGCTGCATAGCGTCCAGCCCCGCTCACTGTGATTCCACGCCGAGGCTTGAGCCAAAATGGCAGATGGTCATAAAGTGCTCTGGTCCTGGCCTGAGCTGCTCCTCATAGGTCACTGTAGGCTGTTGGCATCCTGTCCAAATCTCCCTCACCGGGCAGTCCACAGCTGCTGCAAGAGGAGTGACTAAAAGCTTCTGCCTGCGACCTTCTTTGGACAATTGCTATTGGATGAGCTGTCTCACCAGGAAAATTTGGAGATGTGTCACTCCCACTCTGACCCCAAGCGGCCAATGACTGATGGACACAGGGCACAGATCCTGGTCCCCTA